AATCCGATTACATAATCCCGTTCTGTTCGCCCAAAAATTATTCATCCAATCAGTTCATTTGCCGTGGAATTGTTTTTTTTTAAATTCTAATAGCCCTTGTTTAACTGTACATGTCCGTTTACTAGGATTTACAAATCCAATGTGCTATAAATGAGCTTGTTTGTTTCTACGTCAGTGTTTGAGAAGATTAAACGAAATGTTAACATCTCGCGACATATTTCTTCTTTCGGTCTCGATACGATGAATGCATTTCTATCAAACATGAGTGAGTCACCAAAATGAAGTTCGTGACGCAGTGTATCCAAAATGCAAATGACCAGTGCTGAATGATTAATCCCGCGACGTTTTCGTTCATGCAATGATGCTGCTGCTGTTTTGGGAGATGATTTGATAAACAGTTTCGGTCATTTCAACGTAGTTTCGGTTTACGCAACCAAATGCAGTTTCTAGTGTGTGGTGTTTTGCCTGTTTTTTGTTCATTGGTAGGGGAGAACAGATAGAAGACTGAGAGAGGTATGAAGGTGACGATGGACAAATCCGACAGACCAGACGGGCTCGATGCACGGTCACAACTGGTTCCGAAATCCAGCACCGTAACTGACCATTGAGCCCCGGAGATAGTTAACGCAATCCATATGACTGATTCCCCCGGTTAGTGTTGCCGTAGCTTCACACCCAGCCATTCATTGTTCGATCAATCTAGACATTTTTTTCTCGATACATCGAGGGAGTTTAACTAATAGCGACGCGTGTTGCGTGCCTCAAACTTCAAAGTCTATGCAGTTTGAAAGCTTGACAGGTTGGGCCCACCTGAATCGTCTGAGGTTCTGCGCACCCAAACTCAGTATTGCATTTCCGGTCGTGCCCGACCAGACTCGTGCAATGCGGCGATAGTTGAACACCGTTAGTCTGGCTTTATCCATATTTCGTAACAAATAACAGCAGGGGCCGAACGGAAGCAATGCAACGTACGCATTCGTCCATCAGTTCCTATTGATCGACCAGTCACGCGATACAGTTGTTCCTGACGGACACTAACCAACACCCTTACCCCTGAACTATACGGTCGATTTCCAACCCGAAAGTTCGCGGATCGAGTCCTGACAGGGACACAAAAGCGCACACGCTGATGAGTCCCAAACAGGACTAAATAGCTGTCCATTGCTCTTGGTGGGTCATTGTAGTGGTTGTGGTAGTAGTAGTAATACGCACGGAACTCGGAACACGAATCAAAGATCATCGATCACGGATTGGATAACGTAAGCACTGGGCCGCACTGCCACTAGCACGCAATATCCCACGGAACTGAGACACGAGGAAAAGGCCACAGGGGTAGTAGTTCATTTATTGGAAGGAATAATGGGGGTTAAATAATGTGTGCTAAGTAGGCTCATTGGTTATCCAGGTTTCTACCAGTCATGCTCCAATATTGCTTGTATCGTTCTGCTTCTGCCTGGGTCGCACGATCTCTGATTGGCTGCTACGATCTACCTATGGTATTAAGTCAGAAGCAGCGACACGTACGCGCGTTTTTGACGTCACCTATGAGGTTTGATTGATCGCATTTTTCCAAAAGCTGTAACTCGTCGCTTCAGGGTACGTGTCATCTCGTAGGCCGGGATCACCACAGTCATCACAGAGATTTCCATCGCATTTAAATGCATTGAACTGGTAGGGAATTAACGATCTCCCAAGGAGTCAAACCCACACCCAAGATCATCAATAGTGCCCAGGGCCTGTAAAAAAAGAATAAGCCAATCCAAACATTTGCCGTCTAAATGGGTGGTTGTAGACCGTCCGATGGTAGACCGCTATCGACTGACAACAGTTACCCATTTGCAGTACTTTCAACTACTCGGTACATCCCGTAAGAGGCCGTTGCGGTGTTCCGTCGGATTCCTTAATTACCTCGCACCTAAATTCTGTGAGCTAGGAATCCTAACTGAACGTAAGAGATTGTAACTGTTACCAATGGCTCCAGTCTTCCCCACACGTCTGTACATTTTTCTATCCACCATTTCTAGAAATATCCCCCTTCACATACATGGGATCAACTTGTTCTCTCTTTTCCTGTTCGATTTGATCAAGCAAATCGTTGTTTTGGATTGTAATGACTTTTGAAAGCAACTGTGTCTACAAATCATGTTTTTATTAAAATTATTCAATCAGTTTTGATTGATATTGATGTTTTTGGAAGCGATACCACTCATGCGTAATGTTCAAAACGATGAACATATCATGTGAATACTATTGCAGTATTTTTGTCACACTATCGTGTCGCACAAATAAAAAGCTTTCATAAATCGATAGGAATCACCAGTACCGTGATGTTCCCTGACATCTCATCACGTGTCACCAAACCCGGGTTAATCATACGATTGTATTTCTGGTTCACTCTTCCGCACTGTACAGCTCATCAGCTGCCGGTACCTGGAATAGTTCGTACCACGAGATGATGCAATTTGGAAAATAGGAGTAATCTAATCATCTTACCAGCTGTTGACATGCAGAAACGACATGATATCAGCATTGTTTCCACCGATGGCTACATTCAGGTGAAAATTGGAACTGGCCGTGAAATTTGTTCACTATTGTACTGGTCGAACTAGCAATCGGGATCGATCGAATGGCGTGAACTCAAACTCAATCAGATCGAACCAAGACGAGCTGCGAATACAATTAGTTCTATTCCGATAAACAGACAAATAAATATAGCAAGTGTGCATTGTAGTAATTGTAATATTTGTAATAGGCACTGAGCACGAAATATGAATCACGGATTAGTGATCACGGACGAGGTGTGAGCACTGAACCACACTGGTACATGCATGACAGTATCCCACGTAACTGAAACACCAGGAAAAAGGCCACAGAAGTAGTAGTTCGTTTATTGAAAGAAATTACCATTTAATAATGGCAAGCAGGACCACACGTAAGAATCCAATACTACTGCCCATACGGAACATTTGAAGAAAAAAACCGCGTCCTAGCAGTTCAAGGTTTGTTTACATATTAACCACTATCCAACTCGATCCGCATAAGGACCAAATTGCAGGTGTGATGTTTTGTTCACAAGATACAGTGCCTTTACCAATGACATAATCCATATCTTTTGCAACTCAAGTTGTCCCAATATCATTTTAACATATGTATCTGTGTATCATTTTAAGCTGCCTGGTTGACTTCACCAGAGCTGAAAAGTCTCCCAGCGATGTTTGGATGACCACTATGTAGCACAGATTTCTCTACCTCCCGATGAAGCTTGGCGGGACGATTGTGAGACGTGCCTTGGTCACACACCTCAGTTCCCATGTCATACATATTGGTTGTTTCTCTGGCAAGTACGCTTATACGTCTGTGTGCGTGTGTATGTATGTGTCTGTGTCCCTCTGCGCTGATACCAGTGAGTCATGCATGATCAACGCTCGAGTCATTGCTTATTTCCATCGCACGATGCTGTTTTAGAATTCATAAGCTACACCTCAAGCGGCTGAACTGGGACACCAATAGACCATACTCGATCGATATACGCGTCAGTGCTGACCAGATTCACATCCAGTTTGTTCGACACTTTCAGGTCATAATCCATTTCTGTGAAACCATCACAGAAGTACCTTCAAGCAATGAACAATCAAAACTATCATTTTGGCCATATTTTCGGAAAGGAATGAGATATCTCTATCAAATCAACTGCAATAAAAATAACGTAACGAGGGCTGTCGAAAGATGCCATAAGTTTTACAAAAGTTACGGAATTTTATAGGAAAACACAACTTTCAAAATTGGAATGTTTCCAAAATGCACTTTTCTGAGTATGGGCTCTGAATTTGACGATCTTTATCGCTGAAATCGTACAGTCTTACCCAAACACTTCCACCACACAAAGTAAACGGGCAAATTATGGTAAGTCTGCACAGTACCCCTCCCCCCCCAGCGCTGCTGACACAATACGCACACTGTCTTTCCGTCGTGAATCGCTCAAAGTCGATTGAATCAATAGACCAAACGCACCACAGCCCGGTCAAACTGCGCAAAATTTGGGTTCACGTGCTACCCGGAGACATTCACATGAAGTGGATGTCACCAGGCCTATCTGTATACAGCGCAACAAATTATGCGCTTGTCCGACCCGGTCCTATGATCCTGACGATCCCATGAAGTAAATGCGACATTTGTGACCACGTACATGAGTATAAATAGAATCCCAAATCATCGCTGTCACCATTGTCGAGTTGAACGACAGTCCATCTCAAATAACCACCAGCACCGCACACAAAGATCATCATCATCATGCAGTCCGCACGTACAGGCACATTCCCAAACGAATGTGAGACCATGATCAATCAACTAATCAGTCTGTTTTGGTCTGGGGAACAGACTTACATGAACATGTCTGCCGCCAGTGCCTCGGATGAGATATCCATGCTTGGATTTTCCGAGTATTTCCGTCTCTGTTGTCTGCGGATGCGAACGATTGCGGACAAATTGTGCCAATTCCAAACAACTCGTGGAGGTCATCTGATCCTCGGTGAGGTTCGCAGTATGATCCAAATGTCCAATTGGAATGAATGCACTGTGGACAAGTTAATCCATTTGGCACTGGATATGGAGAAACAGTTCGAACAACGACTGAACGAGTTATGCGTGCTGGCCAAACAGAAAAACGATTCGGTCACGGCGGAATTTGTGGAGAGCACGCTGCTTCGTGATCAGGTCCATGTGCTCAAAATTACAGTGAATCACGTGAACGGTTTGAAAGTGTGCGAAAATGCCTGGATCTATGACACACTGACCATGAAACCGTTTGTGCGTCAGATTTGCGAGATGTTGGGCAGTGGTTTGACTGGAGTTGGACAAACCTGTATTCCGGAAATGTGTGTCTCGACGACATCTGCCACCGGGGTCGGTCGAAATCCGTGCAGCTCCGGGAGTGAAACATGCTCCGAATATTTGCAATCGTTTGTGAATTCTTTGCGTTACTAAGCGATACGTAATAAATTTCACCAAACGGTCGGATATGATTGGTTGTGATTGACATGCGGATTTTTGACGTTGAAGACGCCTTTAGGAAAGCGAAATTCAGTTAACCTCTCTAAATCCAATTTGGTTATTTTTTTGAGATTCGTAAAAAAATCTTCAGGAAGCTGCACTGGGCGTCATTAGGTCATTGGTTAAAAACTACTATGAAGTAGTGTGTTAATGGTGGTGGGTTTGATTCCGGAAACATGTGTCACGGTCAAACGTCGTGGATACTACTCCAAAAGCCATATAGATGAATTCTTTCACATTAATATAGTAGATCGCGTATATTTCTTGATGTCATGCGACTGGGTATTTTGGATTATCGATGATCATGATGTCGTTGGGAGGGGGGGGGGAGTTGTAGGCTGCAAGGTCCAACAGGTAGTCGAATGGAGCGGGCCTTCTTGATGTGATGGGTTTGCAAGCGATTTATGTATGCAATTAATGAGTCTACCAAAAAGACTAAAATGACAAATGGTTTCTGACAGAGTGGATTTATCCGGGTGTTTTCTCACATCGATGCATATCGACCGACCTATTCGGGGGTTTAAACTCCTAATGTGCTATTACACATACGTTTTCATGAGATAAAAAGATGACCATGTTGCCAGTAAGTATTACTCAAAGGAAATAGAGTATTTGAATAAATAGTCGCGGACAATGCAGGTCAACCCGGAAGTTAGATGGTTGGCATACTGCTAACATTTGCCACCAGATTCTGCTCCATCGAGAGCCCTTCTAATGCTGTCCGTATCTTCCAATCACGAATAGTTATCTTTTTCTTTTCGACCGGAATAAAAGAATTTCAAGACAATGACTTGTCCAGAAGAAGCTGATAAATTAGTGTCCTGGATGTAAATTTATTACTAGGACCGATGTTAGCTGTACCTTCCGTTTGAACGTCCTTCAGGTTAAACAAGACAGAACAGATCTTAGTGCTTCATCGAATGGATCGATAGATTCAATTTCGGACATAACTTGACCTGATTCCAGGATATTGTCACGTGATGTATCATAAGTTTACCTTGTTCACTGAATTACGGACTTATTTTCAGACAAGTTAGACGAATCAGTCAGCTTGCGAAACAACCCGGTCCCGACATGTTCTCCGGGTCATTAAAATTTGCCCCAAACCACGAACAGTATTATTCTTATATAGTAGATTTATCATGTAGTAATACTGAGATAAATGGATGAACTCATTCATACCTCGGTATTAAGACCGAGTTCCAGTAGTAACCCTAATACGCAGAATTGTTAATGACCCGCAACCCAACTCAAGAAATCAGAACACACAAGACAGCTTGCTGATCGGAACCGGGTTAACGAGTTAATGAATGGTCGTGAGAATACATCAATCGATTACACGATGGCCTAAAACTAGGTCAAGCTGACTCACGGACAAAACGGCCTGGAAATTTATTGGTCAGTGTCTGTCGTGAACACTTGTATAATGTGATTGGACGACCAATGGGAGTTGATGGTTGAATGCGTACGTAACACTCGGTATTCTCTGTCTCCTTAACTTTAGCTCATCCTCTTCATCTGTGTGAGCGGCATACGAGAGATTAATATTATCATTATGAATATGATTATTATTAACATTCTATTCCTCATGATATTTACCATTTCGGAACAATTTCGAATGGTATATTTCAGTCTTCTTGTGTTATAAGTGTACGCCCCTGGTTAGGAAGAACACAAGTCACCGAATTGGAACGGACTGACTGTAATAAGGTCAACACACGTGTACACGGCAATGCAACTGAAGGACCAAATGACGCAACAAAGGTCACGCCGTGACCTGAGAACGAACGAAAGCCGTAATCGGGACGAAAGGACAACTTCCTCCCCTCCCACCCCCACCCGCTCGCAACAGTTCAACGGCGGACCGAGTCAAACACAGCGAGAACAGGGGACGAAAATAGCCGATGGAGAAGATCGCATATATAAACGAACGGTTACAGACAGAACACTGCCACTTCACAAGCACTGAGGATGTCACCTCGGCTGGTGATGAAACGTTTGCAAACAAATTGCCAAGCTCGGCGAACAGGAAAAATGGAACGATTTACAGCGTCAATGATTGAAATCATTGGGCCTTTCAATACTGGTAAGTTCGATTACTTAGTCGACCAGTCACATGACATCTAATGCGAGTGAGCTGCGGCATGATTTTGGCTTTCATCGCAGCTTGTATCAATAGTTTTCATTTGTAGTCTGGTCATTTTGCCACGCACTCGGGTACGATGACGCAAAGTATCGAGTTAGTTTGATCACCACTTGTTGTATCCCGCACAGGTCAATAAGTACGCAATCAGTGAATTAAGCAGTTATTCTATTTCCAGAATGTATATGCAAACATAGCCGGTCCGTAGGCCGGTGTGGAAGCAGATCCTCAACACGCAAACAGGCAGGCACAAGACTGGCGCAAGCGTTACCAAAAGGACTATGTCGTCACACTGGGCAGTCAACAAACCAATCCATGCGGACAGGCCAATACTGACCTGTGATTCGCTGGGGTGGATTGACCTTATTGACAAAGTATTGAAAATCGATTCTAGCAGCTCCGATGAACTGATGTGTGAAGTGACCACTTCACAGGCACTGATGATGTCACCTCGGCTGGTGATGAAACGTTTGCAAACAAATTACCAAGCTCGGGAACAGAGTAAGTCCGCATGACGTGCGTACGTGCGTGTGGTGGCAAGCCGCAACGGCCAATCACGTGATGTGCCGCAAACGTTTCGCTCGACTGCAAGCCACAACACCATCATTTCAGGTCATTCCATACCATACCCTAAGGTCTACACGCGTACGGTTTTGTTGAAGATCGGTGTTTGCTATAACGGTTCATCCGTACGTCTGCAAATCACTCGAAATGGAACAAGGTTCTGTCAGTAGATCAGATTGCTGCGTGGATAGAATAAATAAAATAAACGGTTGAAAAACGAACTTATTGATAGGAGACAGTGTAATAATTGTATTAACAGCAGTAGTAGTACGCACGGAACTCAGAACACCAACCACTCAATATGAATCACAGGACCCGAATCAATAATCAGCTATCACGGACTGGATCTCAGAAGCAGTGGACCACAATAGCACGGATTCACAATGTCCCACGAGAACGAGACGCGAAGAAAAGGCCACAAGAAAGGCAGTAAGTAGTTCGTTTATTAGAAGAAATGAAGGTGATTAAATAATATGTACAAAGGGAGATTATTGGCTCTCTGGACTTCCACCAATTAAATTGCAGTACTGCTTGCTTCTGCCTGCATTGTCTTGGATTGGTTGGCACCATCCACCAATGACTTGTATTCAGAAGCCATGCACGTGTCATTGACGTCAGTATTCAAATTTGATTGATCGCCAATGTCCTGAAACTGTAATGTGCCGGTCCAGGGTAGGCGCCATCGTGTAGGCCTGGATCACTACAGAAACCTTTGTGTAAAATTAGTGCGAGAGGATACATGGAGTTTTCAAGAAACTCTGGCACAAATTTATTTCCGATCCGAAGCTACTGTATAAGCATATCAATGCTACCAGAAAAGTGAAATATGGAATACCGGCACTAAGACATGCAGGACGATTCTCACTACTACTGCTGAAGCAGCGGAATTCCTAAAAGTCCAGTTCTACGAAGTGTTCACTGCAGGTAAAAAAGGTGGATTACAGCTTCCATACCTTCTATCAAGTGTCCCATACCCCCAACTGACCACCGTCACGTTCAAATCTGAAACGGTTAAAAACAAGCTATTGGCGCTGCACCGGAATTCGTCTCCAAGGGAAGACAACATCCGGCCACATACCCTGACATCCTTGGCAAATTACGTATATGAAATAATTGCCCATTTATACCAAAGAATGTTCGACAAGACGAAGATTCTTCAATCCTGGAAACACGGCATCATTTCGCCTATTTATAAAGGTGGTTGCAGAAGTGATCCTTGCAAACTACCGTCCAGTTATACTTCTCCCTGTTCTGTCAAAAGTAACGGAATCGATTGTTGCTGATTCTCTGGTGGATCATTTCGAGAAGCACGACATACTTTTGCCGGCCCAACACGGTTTTTGAAGGAAGCGCTCATGCACCACAAACCTGCTACTTGTGCGAGATGAATGGATAAGATCATTCTACGCAGGAGAGGCAGTAGACGTAGTTTGCTTTGACTCATCCAAAGCTTTTTACAGGGTTAACCACCATATATTGCTGCAAAAGCTCCATGATTACGGTTTCCGAGGACTGCTTCTGGACTGAATTGAGGAATTTCCTCGACAACATACGGTTCGAGTTAATGGTTCTCTGTCGGGACCGATTGAGGCTGTCCGTGGAGTTCCACAAGGATCCGTACTTTTTCCTAGCATTCATAAACGACTTACCAGATGTCTTTGGAGAAAAGGGATTATTATTCGCTGATGACGCCAAAACATCGAGGACGGTAAAATATCCTGAAGATCATGAAACCTTGCAGGAAACTCTCGACGCAGCTTATCGATGGTTCATCATTAGGGACATCAAATTCAACTTTGGAAAATGCAAGGTTGTATCGCTGCGCCACAGGGGTCGCTTTCCATTTTTACTTGGAACTCAGCCATTGCCGCGTTCTCCAAACGAAAAGGACCTGGAAGTTATCGTTTGTGAGGATGCAGGGTGTTCCACATATTGCGCAAGAGCGTCTTCAAAGGTTATAAAACACGTTGGATTGCTAAAACGATTTTTTGGATCATTCGAAACAGACCTGTTGCCCCGTTTATTATCCGCATACATTAGACCACACACCGAGTATGCTAATACAGGCTTGGTATTCATGGCTGATTCGCGACCAAAAGGCAATCGAACGTCCGCAGAGAACAGCAACCAAAATCGCCAAAGGGTTACAATCTAAGACCCATGGTGAAAGGCTGCGAATTATGGGATTCTATTCATCAGAATACCGTCGAATACGAGTAGACATGAT